ACACATCATGAAAACACGGACACTCTCTGTTTTAAAAAAATTATAAACAGGAACTCTTTCAACAAAATAAAAAACACCCCTCTGTGTGTTTTCACAGTGAAATTAATTTAAAAAAATACAAATATAAAAGAATAAGAACAGTGAACGTACCGACACACACCAACCCGTCGCCTCGGTAACCACTGTTACACACACACTCTCTGAGGCCGGGCAAGGTCCTCTTACACACCGCGAAGAGACTGCAGCCCCCGTTACCCACTGCACACCGGTCTATGGCTACACACACACACACACACACACACAACACACACACACACACACCCACACACACACACACACACATGCATGTGAATTTCTGCAGTTGTGAGATCAGGGGAGCAAAGAGCTCAGGTGTGTGTGTTTGCTACCTTGGCAGAAAGTTCCATTTCCTTCAAATCCGGCGGCACATGAACACAACGTTCCGGACGGTCCCGTTAGACAGCTGACACACGAGGAGACACCATGAAAAGTTTAAAATATCAAAAACACTATAAAGAACACTATACAAATATCAACACTCACTAACATCTATAACACAATAATACTCATATGATGGCAGAGCTATAATAATATATTACTCACTTTGCACTGGAGTGACACTTCACATCTGACCCACACATCTCATCAGAGACAACTTCTGCAACGAGAACACACACACACACACACACATCTCATCAGAGACAACTTCTGCAACGAGAACACACACACACACACATCTCATCAGAGACAACTTCTGCAACGAGAACACACACACACACACACATCTCATCAGAGACAACTTCTGCAACGAGAACACACACACACACACATCTCATCAGAGACAACTTCTGCAACGAGAACACACACACACACACATCTCATCAGAGACAACTTCTGCAACGAGAACACACACACACACACACATCTCATCAGAGACAACTTCTGCAACGAGAACACACACACACACACACATCTCATCAGAGACAACTTCTGCAACGAGAACACACACACACATCTCATCAGAGACAACTTCTGCAACGAGAACACACACACACACACACATCTCATCAGAGACAACTTCTGCAACGAGAACACAGATTCACAGACAACATGGGGTTACAAAGATTTTAAAAAGGCAATAAATATATTTAAATTTTCCGATAATGAAACAAAGTCGTCTTACTCTCATCACAGAGGACGCCTCTCCAACCAACATCACAGACACACGACCCGTCACCCTTCAGCCCCTCGTTACAGCGGCCATGTTTACAACGACAGTCTGCAGGGAGGCGGGGGGGAGAGAGGGTTAGACGGGGGAAAGAGAGGGCGAGACAGGCTCCTACAGGACAGCGTACCTTGGTCACAGTGGATGGAGTATTTCCCGCCCTCGCAGCTCTCACACGCCGTCCCATTGAATCCTTTGGAACAGCGGCACACTCCGGTCCCCGCCGTGCCGTCCTCACAGCGTCCGTTACCGGAGCACGACTGACCCTTCGGCCCGGGACACGGCTCGCAGTGCTCCCCGAAAAACCCCCCGCAACAACTCCGCTCCTGAGATGGTAAGGTTTATTGTCACAGATAGAAAACATCCGCCTCGTAATAAATGTTAAAATATTAAACCATCTGACACGTCATAGTGAGTATGAAATACGGTAAATAAATGAATATCAAAGGATGTGACAGTTAAGGATAGAGTACCATGTTGGCCATCAGACACATCGCTCTGCAGCCCGTGTTCAACAGATTCTCTCCTTGAATCACCCGTCTCATCAGGCACTTCCTCATCTTCACAGATTTCTGAAGATGAAATGTTAAAGGTCACATATCCTCCTCCTCCTCTTCAACCAGTTTAAATAAGTCTCATAGCTCCTCAAAACATGTGTGTGTTTCTTGTTCTAAATCCACTCTGATCCTGTATTTGATCATGTCTATAAACCCCTCTATTTCAGCCCTGCTCAGAACAGGCTGTTTCTGTGTCTGTACCTTTAAATATGTAGATGAGCTGTGTCTGACCACACCCCCTCTCTGGAAGGGCTCGGGTGTACTCGTTTTTTCTCGCTCCATGTCCTATTGTTTACGGTGAGAAGGCAGACTCAGAGGGCAGAACAAACACCTAGCTGTGGGAGTGTCACCCACCTGGGGGAGGGGCTACTGCCCTTTGTGATGTCATGAAGGGAAAATCTCCAAACGGCCTGTTTGAGCACACATTTTCTGAAAAGTGGAGCAGGTAAAAGACTAAAACACTTGTGTTTGTCTTAAAGTTTATTTTATGTACAGGGTCAAAGTTGAAACCTTATTTTAGCTCAATCATTCTTTAATTCTTCGACACTCTCTCTCTTTTGTTCAGCTTTATTAAATGATGACAGCTTTTGTCATCAATCATCATTTTTGATTGAATTTTGTCAGAGAAATAAAACGTCAAGTCGTCTGCATAGAAAGTTAGTTTTTGACCTTTTTGAGCATTTTTTGTTGAAGAATTTCTGATAAAACTCAAAGAGTGATCACCTGAAAACTTATATTACAGCCTCCTGTCAGTCTGAACGTTTCAAACTTTTCATTAGAATAAATCAAACATGAAACTTTAAGTTTCATATTTATGTTTCTGTGTACGAAAACTGAGAGCAACAAGAATGTTTTCAACACGTTAGTTTCACTGCTCTGCTTTTTAATGAACATTTATTATAATTTCTTATGTATTCAGTGTCATATGAATGTTTTCTATGATCGTAGAGTGATTTAAAGACGATGATCTTACGTCCTGAATCGTCTGGTTTGGGCAGATTTCACTCATTTGATAGAAACAGTCCACACATGGTCCCTGTGGAGGGAGAAAGAAAGTTGTTATTGATCAGCTGATCAGTTAAAAAAATAAAATAATCTGGCTCTGCCTCCTGATCGTGCAGACATTACCTGGAGTTTCAAGTATTTGACCTTGTCACAGCGGTTCCTGTTGATCTCCAGGACGGCTGACAGACCGTGGATCACTCCTCGACCGCTCAGCAGGTTCGACGAGTTCATCGGAGCGTCGTTCACAAACAGCTGACACAAACATACACATTTTTAAAATTGTATTTATTATTAAACGATATATTAATTATCTGAATCATTGAATCATCGATTCAGACCTTTCCGTCTCGGGGGAAGAAGCCGAGCTGGAAGGAGAACCCGAGCAGCGTCTCTTTGTACCCTCCAGACTGCAGGTCGGTCTTTAACAGGCGCTCCGTCGCCACCACATGGTAGCGAGTTGTATTTACATCCTGTTTGACGAAATAAAATCCCGGACTTATCATTTAAAAAGACAAACATTCTCATCGTTTCACAGCTTGTTCTAAAGTTAACACATTTTATTCCTAATTTTAATTTCTTTGAGACTTTGTGCACAGTTTTAAAATAAAAACACATTTAATGTTTGTTAAATGTTGAAACTGTAAACCGTCGGTAAATTGTACCATGGCGGTGACGGACGCCTTCTTCAGATACTCGGCGATGGCGGCGTCTGTCGGAGCGAACACAGTGTACTCGTCTGCCTGCTCGATCTCGTCTGTCAGGTTATAATCCTGCAAGGAAAAACACCACACATGAGAAACAGACCTGTCTTGGTCTTGGTCTTGGTCTTTTCTTGGTCTTGGAGCACTCTGGTCTCGGCTAACGTGGTCTTGACTACAACACTAGTATTGGGCATTTTGACAATCTTAGTTTGTTTTTGTGTGTGTGTGTGTGTGTGTGTGTGTGTGTGTGTGTGTGTGTGTGTGTGTGTGTGTGTGTGTGTGTGTGTCGTACGATGAGGTAGGATCTGAACAGAGAGAAGTCTGTCCTCAGAGCGAGAGTCGCCAGCAGTCCTTCACTCAGCTTCCTGTCAGGAACCAAAACCTGCAGACAGAAACCACAAGCTGTGAGATTCAGTCAGAGCATAGTTAGCATGGTTAGCATGGTTAGCATAGTTAGCACGGTTAGCTGTGTACCTTATCAACGATGTGGATGAGTCCGTTGGTAGCAGCGATGTTGGAGGCGGTGATGGTCGCTCCTCCGACAGACACGACCTGAGAGATGAAAACACGCCGACTTAAATCTGAACTTTCTCCGACACGTTTATGAGCACAGACATTTAAAGGATTTATTTTAAGTACATGATGATCAGTGTAATGACATTGACTTTTATTTTTACACACATGTAGCTCCCAACGAATAAATAAGACCGATCAGCCGAGGGTGGAGGAATAAAAACAGTTTTATTTCAAAGATAACGTAGAATCTAAACTTGGACTCACCTCATTGGTTGATGAAACAGGAAGTGTGGTCTTGAGGAGGGAGGTGAGAGAGGCAAGGCCGCTCAGGGTGTTTAATGGATACACACCTGAGATCATATGATTTCTACAGGACAGGTGGAAGCTTTTACAAATCTTAACAGACATTGAGAACATGTTCGAGTTTAAAATAAAGAAATAAGAGCCTGATTTAATAAGAAATAAAGATAATCAGACACAAACACAAAAGTTTCACTGTTTAAGACAAAACTTCCTCCCTGAATGGAGCAAGAAAGGACAACTCCAAGAAAAAAAACAACAACACTCATCATCATGTTGTCATGGTTACGGCTACAGAGCGATTTCAAAAAAAAAAAAAAAAAAGCTTTTCAGTGACGTTACCTGATGAGACTGGGCAGGTTTCCTTTGGTGGTCCAGAACTTTTTCTCCTCTGGGGACATTTTAGCGACCGCGTCCGACGACGGGACCAGCAGGGTGAGGTTCTGATCGGACAGAGACCCGGACAGACCGGACTCCTGAAACACAACAAGGGAAAGATGTGACATCACTGAAGAACACTGTAGACACACGCACATGAGATGCAACTGTTGAGGACAAAGAGTCATGGAAATCAGACTCCAGTTTGAGTTCTCCGTGCGTCTCCTGTGAGTGAACTAAGATTGCAACAATTTTTTGGATTATTAAGAAACGTTAATTCACTTTAGACTTTCTGATTTATATTTAGTTTGCATGAGTTTTCATGTCAGTTCTTTTGTATTATTAAATATAATATTATATTTTATATTATTATCATAAATATTATGTTCTTTAATGTCTGTTTTTTGATGTCTTCTTTTGAAACATTGCTGTACATATATAAACAACACAACTTCAGAAGGTCAACACTTTATTTATTTTTTAATTACAGATTTGTTTTTCCTCAACTGTTTTTAGGTTCTTGTTTAAATGTCACATATATTTTTATCCCTGCACGGGTTATGTACATTTCTTGTATGAGTCTATTTTTAATTGCACAGTTTAAGTTTGATTCATCTAGGGGGATTCTTTAAATCTTTTTTCGAGTTAATATATATGTATGGGAGGGGGGGCAGTTTTGTGGTTAATTTGTAACAAATGTTTCATGTCATGTCTTTGTAACCTGCTACTGGATGCTTTGAATTTCCCTCGGGATCAATAAAGTATCTATCTATCTATCTATCTATCTATCTATCTATCTATCTATCTATCTATCTATCTATCTTGTAACATTGGGAAGCTTCATTCTCGCTCCTCTCCAGCTCCTTCCTCATTTCAAATGTTGCCAACATCTCTGTGCAATTATGAGAGTGCACACTCAAATATGTTGTCAACCTTTTTGTGCAATTTCAACAGCACTCTTTCAAATAAGTTGCTAACATAATTGTGCAATTTAGACAGTGCTCCCTCTCTCTTTTGGTCATGTACAGAAATATTTGGAAACGTGTACAATTAAGACGATGCTCTCTCAAATATTTTGCAAAATAATCGTTTTAAAACACCTGGTACCATAAAGTATCAAACATTGTGACGACCTCAGTCAGGTGTTGTACTCACAGTGGTCCATGTGAAGAACTCTGAGACGTCCGGCAGAACCATGAGCTCCTGAAAGCACCACACACACACAGACATTTGTGAGTATAAAGAAACATGGCGGACGTCAGAATTTATCACCTGTGGACTCTCACCTGTCCGATGGTGCCGTAACACGTCTGTCCGTTTCCAACATAACCTTCATCGCACACACACGTCCACTGAGAGGACTGCAGGAGACAGCTGGCCTGAGGACACACACACACATCACTCTCTGTTCATCTGATAGACACACAGAGAGCCGATGAAGAGCGCTCATCATCATCATCCTCACCAGGTAATGACAGCCTCCGTTGGCTGTCACACACTGATTCACGGCCTCGCAGTTCCAGCCGCTGCCTTTGTACCCCGCCTTACACGAACAGTCGCTCTGAGAACATAAAACAAGAGAAGAAGAAGACCTTTGACATTCTGTTTCTTCTGCGATTGTTGTCCGTTTCCATGGTTACAGTGCAAACACAACAACCAGTAAAACCAAACTTTCCTTCCCTCTGATTGAAGTAAAATCAGTCATATATCAGCAGTTCACACCTACATCACTTCCTGCCTCATCGGGCAAAGCATCATGGGAAATGTAGTGCCAGGTTTCCTGTTGTCTGAGTAATTTATATACCGTCACATGAACATGGGTTTTCAGTCTCCTCTCTCCTAACACTCCTGACAAGTACTGTAACTCAAAATCTGATGATGCGATTTGATTGGACGTTACCCGTCCAGGTCCCACGTAGATGCAGGTGGCATTGGAGTGGCAGCCTCCTTTATCGGGACGGTTGCAGTTGTTGATTGGCTGACACTCGTCTCCGTCCTCCGTCCACCCGATCAGACACTGACAGGAGTGAGTCCCCGGTCCTGTCGTTACACATTTGGCCTGCAGGGGGCGTCAAACACATATATACACACACACATACACACAGGGAGTAGTCAGTGTGTGTGTTGGTAATCTGCAGAAATGATGTAAGAGTAAAATAAATAAATAACGTACATTCAAGCTGCAGCCGCCTCTGAGGGGCGGAGCACAGGGGTCAGACTCCACACAGGTGATCCCGTCTCCTTGGTAACCAGGTTGACAAACACATCTAGAAACAGATGGAGCAGAAGCTAATAACAAGACAATTCATTTTGTTGACAACAGACTGTCCAAGTGCTACACCTGCAGGTGTTCATGGGGAACAGGTGAACATGACATCATTATGGTGGAGGGCTTCTTTAACAATTAAAGAAAAAAAAACATGAGTGATTTCTTCAGATTAAACATCTATCAGAAAAAAGTTCATCTGATGCAACGTCGACCCACCAAATCTCCAAACTCGGCGTCTGTAGTCTGAACTTTAAAGATGTCTATGTATGCTGAAAGGGAGCTGCAGGTAAACTCACCTGGGGGTTCCCTGGCTGAAGTCACAGTCTGCGTGTGCGTGACAGAACTGAGCCTGAACGCCACACGCCGCTGTCCTGCGATCGCACAGCGCACCGGTGTAACCCATCTGACAGGAGTCCAGTTTACACTGGCCGCCTGAGTCTGGATGATTATCACACTGCCCGTGGACACAGGGGCAGGCTGAGGACACACAGGTGAGATACAGGTACGACATCACACAGGTGAGACATGACACGTGACACATGACTCAGGTAAAAACTTACTCCTGTCACAGTTTGGTCCGTACTTGTTGGGGGCGGTGCAGTACTGACAGCGAGAGCCTCTGAAGTTTTGCTCACAGACACACAAGCCGCTTCCTTCCATCCCCTCGGAGCACTACGACAAAAAATAACATTTATCAAACCACTTTTGTTTCCTCCTTCTACAAAACAAGTCAATTCAGCTGCTTTACCTGCTCATCAAATGTCAGGTGACTGTTAAATGACCACTAAATGTTCTTCTGCTGACGCTGCATTAAATGATTAATCACAAGATCCTTTAATATCTGATTTCATGGGTTGTTTTGTTTTCAGTTTTGTTTTAACTCAATCGTTTTTTAATTCTTCGACACTCTCTCTCTTTTGTTCAGCTTTATTAAATGATGACAGTTTTTGTCATTAATCATCCTTTTTGATTTAATTTTGTCAGAGAAATAAAACGTCAAATTGTCTGCATAGAAAGTTTGTTTTGGACCTTTTTGAGCGTTTTGTTGAACTGCAGAAAGTTTTAGAAAGAATTTGGGATCATGATGTGTTAGCTGAGGTTAGGTAGAAGGCTCAGGTAGACCTGTGTGTCATCAACATGTCTATAAAAACAATGATAACATGTACAAATTAAATATAGTGAGAAGAGAAGTGGGCCAAGACGTGAGCCTTGGGGTACCTCACAGGTGTGGTCCTCTGTGGATTACAGTGATAAAATCCTTCAGTATGATGATCTAGACCTTTTTCAAACACCCGGTTAATGTTGTGTTGTTAAGTTTTAAGAGTTCAGAGGGTTAAAAACCTTTGATAAGTGTTGTGATGTTGTGTACTTGTTCACAGTGTGTTGATGTTGAATCTGACCTGACCGTGTCCAGAGCATGGGGTTTGATGTCCACCTGGACAGGGACTACAGTCTGGTCCATAGAAACCTTTACAACATGCTGGAGTCTAAAACAGATACACAAACAAACAAAAAAACAAACAAAAAATGAATAAACAGAGGACCAAACGCACAGTTCAGGAGCCTAATCCCAGCTGGTCCTGATTTTTAATCTGTGATATGATTCTAAGATTCTATCTAAAGTTTCTTACGGTGATGGTTGTGTTGCAGATCGGCTTGCAACCTGCTGATGCGATTTTAATGCCTTGCATTCCGAGGGACATATTATAAATACATCCATATGCGATGGAGCCCTGATCCACACACAGAAACATCGTTATATTTAAAAAAAAAAGATTTAAAATGATGGTTAAGCGTGAGAAAATGAACAGTGAACAGAGGGAGACGTCTTACCGTATTAACTCCAGACGAGCACTGAGACAGTATGGCTTTCAGGCAGTTGTTGCACTCACCCTGAAGCGCAGAGACGGGATTGATCAAACACAACAAAAACATGTGAAAATGCACTGATAGATATTACATCCTCTAATTCTGACTATTTAAATATAAATGACATCATTAAAGAAATGGCGCCTGTTGAAGCTCACCCTGAAGAGTTTGGTCTTGTTGATGTCACACCTGTGGGGCAGCACAGGTTGGATGGTAGACGGAGTCAAAACGCCATCTATGACGTACAGACGTCCGTTTTTAGCCTCAACCGCGGCCTCCAGCACGGGGGCGTCGTCCACAAAAATCTGACCCTGAAAACAAAACACGAGTGAAACAGATTCACATTTTTTTTCCGGATGTTAGTTTTACTTATTATTCTTTGACAGATGTAAATGTGTGTCAGGGGATTTCTTTTCAGAATAAGAGCGTGAGGAGAAGGATCCACGTGAACAGAAGGATCTCACGTTTTCCGTCACGTTGATGCTCAGAACATGATTGGCCATTGTCACGATCCTGGGGCTGGACACGGCGTTAAAGACCTCCAGCTTCAGACCCGGTAAAGAGATAAGGAGGAATAATTATTATCTAATAAGTTTTAATGGGATAAAGCATGTTTATCAAATGATTCATGTGATTTTTATGAATATTTGCTACTGACCGCGGTGGACTGGACCAGGTGGTTCCGGAGAAACTCGAGCAGTTTGTGGTGACCCTGAAGGTTCAGAGTTAACATTTGGATCATTCAAGTTAACAGCAAACAAGTTGTTATTAGTTCGGTGATTGCTGATGGGGTTCTGACCTCAGCGCTGCTCAGGTACTCCAGGTGACCTTCAGTCATCCTGTCAAAGGCGGAGCTACTGGGAGCAAAGACCGTGATTGGACCGGGAGTGTCCAGGACTGAGGTCAGATCTACCATCTGCTTAGAGAAAACACAACACACACTACTGAGGACACACACACACACACACATACACACACACTGAGGACACACACTAATGTATGGAGGTCCACTTGTTGAAACAAGGTGAAGTTGAGGTTCATGTGTGAACGGGAAACTCTAGAGTCTGGAACAAATCAGGTCAGGCTGTCATGTGCATGTGTGAAGAGGCTTGACTATTTATGATTGAATCCAAATGAGGGATTTTATAAAAAACAACAAAAAAAAAAACATTTTACCTCCAATAAAGACTTGAACTTGTAGAATTTTCCGTAGTCAGAGATGACCGTCAACAGATTCTCCTGAAAGAACGAGTCAATCAGATTGGACAGAAAAATGATGTGTGTATACCATAGACCAGTGGTTCCCAACTCCTCTAGCCTCAAGACTCACCACAGACTCCTCCATGATAAATCGGGACCCACATTTCTGATATTTTTCAAACAATCAGATATATTTATGAAAATGTGTGCAATAGACGTTACAAAACATGTGATGGAGGCACATGCTCCACGTCTGTCCTGCATGATATACATTTTTTATATTAACCAAATGCTGCTTTATGTGTATCCTGCATGGTTTATGTATTTTCTCCTGTGGCTGCTTACCTTCCTGCTTAATTACTGTCATGATATTTCTATTTTTGTAGCTTTTAGTGATGTTTGAATTTGTTTTTTTTAGGGAGCCTTTTATAAAATCTGGCCAGCGACAACAGATGAAAATTAACCTTTTGGCTAACTTTCATATTTACCAAAATGTTTATTAATATGCAATGTCCCTGTAAAAAATAAATAAAAAATAAGAAACTGAACAAATCAAACAAGTTTAAAAAGGCCATTTTTTCCCAGACACACACTCATGACCCACTGAAAACGGCTTTGCAACCCACTTTTGGGTCCCCACCCACTAGTTGAGAACCACTGCCATAGACTGTACTGCATATGCATGTGGTGTGTGTATACCTTTGTGTTGCTGTCCACAGTTGGGGACACACTGTCCATTAGTTTGTTGATTATGTGAATTATCCCGTTGGACGCGACCAAGTCAGAGCGCAGTATTACACCTTTCTTCCTGCTGCCATGGAGACGGATTTTAGTCTGAGAGTCCTGAAAATCAGAGCGGAGCAGCGGTTAGATGATTCAATGATCAGATTAGTTATTATTTCTAATTTGACAAAGCGTACCCCCTCTGAGGTGTCAATCTCGGCTGATTTTCCCGTCAGAGTGTAAAAAACGTTTGTTTTCTTCAGAGTACTGAACGGCATCACCCCGGCAACCAGGTGCATCTTACACAGGTATTTAGCTTTTGAAACGTCAGCAGTCAGAGTCCTCACCTGGTCAAAAAAAACAAAACGATAGAGAAAGTCACATATTTAATTATTTTTAAACTAATCTTGGTTTAGATTCTTGAAATCAGTTCAATGTGATGTTTGTGTTCTTACTGATGTTCCTCTAAATCCTTTATTTATGGGGACAAACAGAGTGAACGGACCCAAACTCTGCAGAGGCCACGACAAAACGCCTGAAAAAGAAAACACAATTAATAGAAATGTTTACCAACTCAGGACCGATTAGGGGCGGGGCTACCTGTGACTAACAAGTCAGGTTGTGAAAATGTTTTCAGGCTTTTGCGACTGGGACTGACTGAGATAAACCAGTGTCCCTAAAAATGTCCTCTTCAGGCTTTTGTTGTTTTCAAAGTCACTGAGATGTCAGCTGTTGGTATTATCAGCAGACACATCTTATTAAAACCCTGTTTTTAGCAAGACAACATCTGGCATTATTGCGATTGCCATATATGGTCACTTCAGGCTCAAGAAAATGAAAATAGCTCCGACCAATATGCAGAACTGGGGGCTTCAAAACAGAAGTCCACAGACCCTTTAGCTGAACTAGCGGTTAGCTTAGCTTAGCATGAAGACCGGAAAAAAGGGGGAGACAGCCACCCTGGCTTTGTCCAAAGATCAAACACCTTTTTTAAATCTACAGACACACAGTAAAAAAAAAGTAGCAATTGAGGGCGGAGTTATGGGCGGAGCTATGGGCGGAGTTCAGGACATTTTTCAGTCTTTAAAGGTTTTAAGTCTTGTGAATAGATTTAAAATGAATAGATCTTCATCTTACCAAACAGCTGGATGGCGTCGCTCAGCTGACCCCTCCACTCTCCTCCTGGCTCCGTGTTCAGATTGTTCAGACGCTGGATGATGTTCCCATAACACACTTTGCCGTTACCGATGTAACCCTGGAGACAGGTGCAGCTGCGGGACAGAGGGACGAGGTGAGCTGTGTCCTACACGTTAAAACACCTGCTCACTGAGTTAGAAAACGTCGACAAAAGGGACTGACTCGACTCGTCCAGGTTCTACGGTGGTGCAGTTAGCGTGTTCATCACAGGAACCGGGTCTACACAAGTCCTTGAGGCCGCAGCCGCCCTCAGGAAGGTGTTCAAATCCAGGTAGACACTCACAGTGAGACTGACAACACAACAAGTAAACACTGGTTATCACTGCAGCCCCCTACAGGCAGCAGGAGTCATTACAGCTGAAATGAAGGTGAAATGTTTGATCTCTCCTGTTCCTAATCCTGATACTCTCCCTGATCCTGGTCTGCTCCTTTCCTGATCTTTTTCCTGGTCCTGCAGATCCTCCTCCTGATCGAGATCCTGTTTCCAAACTTGTCCTGTCTCTGATTCTGTTACTGAACCTTCTTCTGATCCTCATCTTGTTTTGAATCTTGTTCCTGCCCCAGATCATAATCCTTGCCCCTGATCTGGATCTTGGACATGGTCTTTGTTGTTTCCCTACCTTCCCCGGTCCGTCGTAAACACATCGTGCGGTCCCAGTCGAGCACCCTCCCTGGTTACTCTGACACGGGTCGACGGCCATGCAGACTTGCCCGTCCCCGCTGTAGCCCTCGTTGCAGGCGCACACGTGCTGGTTTGGACCCGAGTGGACGCAGGTGGCGTGGTTGTGACAGAGCGGCTGGAGACACGGGTTAATGGCTGACGACAAAGAAAAACAAACATCACTACACATCTGATGCAGAATAGGTCGACTTTAAGACGTCTGATTGGTCGGTCCTTGTTAAGACGTCTGATCGGTCTGTCCTTGTTAAGACGCCTGATTGGTCAGTCCTCGTTAAGACGTCTTATTGGTCAGTCTTAGTCTGATTGGTCAGTCTTAGTCTGATTGGTCAGTCCTCGTTAAGACGTCTGATTGGTCTGTCCTCGTTAAGACGTCTGATTGGCCAGTCTTAGTCTGATCGGTCTGTCCTCGTTAAGACGTCTGATTGGTCAGTCCTTGTTAAGACGTCTTATTGGTCTGTCCTCGTTAAGACGTCTGATTGGTCAGTCTTAGTCTGATTGGTCAGTCCTCGTTAAGACGTCTGATTGGTCTGTCCTCGTTAAGACGTCTGATTGGTCAGTCCTCGTTAAGACGTCTGATTGGTCAGTCCTCGTTAAGACGTCTGATTGGTTGGGTGACCTCTGAAGTAAAGGAGACAGACCCTGAACAGATGTTTATTATTAATAATAAGTACTCACACAGACACTGATCTCCTGACCTCTGGTACCCCGGCAGACACTGACAGACCAGCTGACCCGTCAGAGCTTGTTCCATACAGCGAGCGTTCTGCTGACAGGTGAGAGCCTTGCACGCCGTTGACTCTGAACACAGGAAGCACACAGGTAACGGCATAGAGATAGTGATGCTGTATGTTGTCAGACAGGTAGAATAACAGTCTGAGCATGATTAACAAGTTTACAAAAGTAAAAAAAAAAACTTTATTTAAAAACTGACCCTGATCACAGTTTGGACCTTTATATCCAGAGAAACAGGTACAGGAACCAGAGCCTGTCAGACCAGAGTCACACAGACCATGCACACAGGAGCACACTGCACAAACACACACACACACACACACACACACACACACACACACACACACAGAAAGACACAACAAGTACACAACAAATACATGTTAAAGTGTAAACTGTAAAGAAAAAAAATATTCCATGAAGAGAGACTTTTGTCGAAACTCACCTGAGCTGCAGGCAGGACCATAACGACCAAGAGCACAAATCTCACACGCAGTTCCAGCAAAGCCCTCCTGAATGCATCACACGCAAACACACACACACACACACACACACACATACACACAAACACACACACACACACACACACACACACACACACACACACACAAACACACACACACACACACACACACACACACACACACACACACACACAGAGTCCTAAAATCAGCATAAAGGCCTCCAACGACTACCAATCATAACCTCCCTGTGCGTGTGTGTGTGTGTGTGTGTGTGTGTGTGTGTGTGTGTGTGTGTGTGTGTGTGTGTGTGTGTGTGTGTGTGTGTGTGTAGTGTGCAGGTGTGTTTCACCTGACAGCTGCACGTCCCGTTTCCTCCCAGTCCATCTGAGCAGGTTCCTCTGTCACTGCACGGTCTGTCAGCTCGGTCAGGACATTCTGCAACACACACACACACACACACACACACACACACACACACACACACACATTTACTGTTAACACAATGTGCAGCTGTTTTTTTTGTTGGTATCCCATCAGAGCCGCTCTGTGAATCTATGTGTGTGTGTGTGTGTGTGTGTGTGTGTGTGTGTGTGTGTGTGTGCCTGTGACAGCACTTTTTTTGTCCTACAAACTGAGACTCAGCAGAGAGGAAGGAAGTCCTGGTTCCTGGAGGACTGATCATGTGACTCCAGTCACCTGGAGGTCAGAGGTCAGGAGAATCACCTCTCTGCTGTCTTTATGACTATCTGTGTGTGTGTGTGTGTGTGTGTGTGTGTGTGTGTGACTCTGTATGTGTCTCTGTATGTTGTTCTGGACTACATGTTTTTAAGTCCACATTCCTGCACCTCAGAGGACGATCCCTCGCTTCATACAACAACATGGAGACATGAACTGACCAATGCAATCTGCACCCCAGAAGCCGGGACAGCAGCTCATCAGCTTCGCCTCTCTGTGACACTCGAAGGAGCAGCCGCTCATTGGCAGCTCCATACTCGACGTCCTGATGTAGTACCTGCACAATAATATATTTCAACCTTCATTACAGGATCTGAGCCTCTGAAAATGAAAAATTAAATGACTCTGTGATGTTTGATTTACATATTTATTGTTGCACTTTGCCTTCGTGTGTGGATTGTGATGTTTCTGGTTTGTTTATTTGTTGAAGGATTTGAATAAAGTGAGAAAAGTTTTCTCACTTGCAGTCCTTTGCCAGGGTCCCGGGGGTCCGTTTGTACCCTGACGGACACGACATAAACAGGCTGATGCTGCACGAGTGACACTTTGTCCGAGTCCTCAACACGGTCGAGTTAGAGCAGAAGTTCTGACACAAAAACAAACACACACACACACACACACACACACACGGCGTCACATCAGCTAATGCTAACTGCTGCTAACACAGATAAAAGTTCATCAACATGAGAACCATCAGAGGGCTCGGTGTGGAGTGTAAACAGGAAGTGTGTGTAACAACTTTTATCACCTCCATCTGATCCATCAGGAAACACACACACACACACACACACACACACACACTCACACACACACACACACCCACACCCACACCCACACCCACACCCACACACACACCCACACCCACACCCACATCCACACACACACACACACACACACACACAGGGCCTGGAAAGTTCTGAAGTCCTTTTATTTCTGGCTGTCGGTTATTCAACTTAAAATACGTAAAATAACTTTTATAAACTTTACAAACTCACGGTAACGTTTACAAACCTGAACTCAACATGTAGATGCAACGATCGCTCTGATCAAAGATTTGTTTCATAATTAAAGAAAAAGTCTGAAACAAGAAAATCGACACACTCTGAGTTTAAATAATAATTTAAATAAGAGATTATAATCAAAATGTATAACTAGGATTTACTAAACTTAAATCCTGACATAAAGAGTTTAAAGATAAATTAAAGTGACTCACAGACAGATTCACAAAAAGCAGAATTAACAATAACACAAAAATCAACAAATTAAAAAGAACACAAACTCAGACAGAAATTTGATATGAAATGAAATAAAATAAATGTTTTAAGACAAGCAGAAACTTTGAATATTCAACACCAACACAGGCTGACCTGAGAGCACAAAATTCACACATCACATCTGAATAAAAAAACTTGAATGATTGTGGAGTTTGTACCTGTTGTGATGCAGCTGAGATCATCTTCATCATCGTCAGAGAGACGAACAGCAGCTTCAAACTCCACTCCATGACTCCTCTCAGATCATCTCTGTCAGTCTGTCAGAGTCCATCCTGCTTTTTACTCCTCCATCCTCCCCTTCCATCCCCCCCTCCTCTCCATCCTCCCCTTCCATCCCCCTCTCCTCTCCATCCTCCCCCTCCTCCCTCCCCCCCTCTCCTCTCCTGTGTCGGTGTTTCCTGACTCTCTCTCCGCTGACTCAGCCGATTCTTTCACTCAGACTCGGTTGGATGTTTTCATCTTTTTTTAATGAATCAGAACAAAAAACAAAAAAACAGTCTTGAGTTCAAAGACGCATTCAAGAGATTCAGATTGTGGTGATCGACCTTGCGTCCATGTGGACTAAGCTCCGCCCCCACTCTGTTATTGTTTCAGTTGGTGTTTGATGAGATTGTGAGAGAGGACAGAGTGTACAGAAAAACATACAATCCTCCTGATCGTTCCCCTCAGAGCGTCAGCTGAGATAACTCTGCAGAGATCACGTCAAGTCAAATCCATTCTTCTGTGTGTGATGATTCAAATATGAGTTGATAAAAAAATCAAGGCAAATTTCTCGGCTCAGGTGAGACGTGAGAAACTGTTTGAGGATGAATGAAACAGATTCCTGAACATCTTCAGATCTGTGATGTTTTCATTTTCCACTTTTACGCCGATTTGGATGATTCTTTGATAAACAGCCAGGGAAACTGTTTGAGGAGACGAGCGATGAATGACATTGAAACAAGGAGCCGAATAAAAGAGGGAAAGTAACTAGGAAGTGTGTGTGTGTGTGTGTGTGTGTGTGTGTGTGTGTGTTACCATCAGTGTGTGATGACGGAGCAGAAAGTTTCAGGAAAGAGGGAAAAAAAGCGACTGATTCTTATTTACAGTCCAGGATTTCCTGCTATTCACACACACACACACACACACACACACACACACACACACACACACACACACACACACACACACACACACACACACACACACACACTTAAAGTGCTGAGTGGCAATACAAACAGGACGGCGTTGTTTGTGTTAAACTGTTCGTCTTTGGTCACAAGTTAAACAACTTAAACTCTTCAGTTTTTGTTTCGGTGGGATTTAATATTTAATTCATTTTATTCTAGTGAATGGACTCGAGCTTGTATCCTTCTTTTCTCGGCTCCTGACTGCTCAAAGAGCGTTTTTACACCGCAGGTCACACCGACACATTCACACGCTGATGGTAGAGGCCGCTGTGTAAAGAGTCCGTCAGTATTAACTCATCCATTCATACACTGCCGACGAAGCAGCAGGAGCAACTTGGTGGTTAAGTGTTTTGCAGACATGGCTGCAGGAGCTGGGGATCGAACCAGAAACCTACTGGTTGACCGCTGAGCCACAGCCTGATTCTAATTACACGTTAGATTCTACATTAATCTTTAGCTCAGTATATTTTCCTTCTTTCATCATAATTTATGAAAACTTTAAATATTATTCTGAGGTAATGGCCGCCGTTTATGTTCTTATTTCTAACAGCTAGTTGAAAATCTCGGATCTTTATTATTAAATACTCGTCGTGTTTTGCCAGGTGTGTCTTGATTTTGGATGATGTGTGATGTTTGACTAGAAAGCTGTGCAACCCGGAGCTGCTACAGAAACAATGCCGAACCATCCTGACCACTATCAAATAAATACTAAAAACGAAATGCTAAATCAAACAACTAACTAAGTTTCCTAAAAGTCAATGTGCTAAACTACGAGCTAAGATAACCTACAATTAAAGCTAAGCTACTAGCTAACTAATATTGAAATAATCTAACAACCTAACTAATGCCTGCAACCTCCAACTAACTTCCTAAATACTATAAACTCACAACTATACAATCTACACTAAATGAATCTATACTAACAGCACAATCCAACTACTAAACCATTAAGCTATTAATCGCGCAGCTCTCTCAGTCTCAATCCACTACACTTGACTCCTCACAGTTCGCTGAGTAGGGTGACAAGGCTTTTATAGGTTTGGTGATGTAGGCATGTACTCCAGACAGCCGTTAGAATTTTTCAACCGGCAGAGAGCAATCACTATGCACATTTCTGACACAATATTTCAAATTTCAATACTTTGTACTCAAATGTTGAGATTTGGACTTGAATTGATCCATAGCACTACTTAATACTTTTTATAGTTGAAAAAAGTGGTTTTGGGGTTTAGTTACTCTTTAAATAGACTCATAATAATAATAATAATTATTATTATTATTATTATTATTTAGCATCAATATATATATACATATATTCTGTACATTCTATATATTTTATTATATTATTACATTAGTCTATATTATATTACATTTCATTATATTACACTATATTGTTCATATTGCACTATATTATAATACATTATACTACATTATATTATATAACTGCACTCTGCATTACTGTGGTACAACACTGCCTCTCTTCTCTGCTCTTTACATTACTTGCTGCTAATTATCACACCAAGTCACTTTAATCATCACTTGTCACTTTATCTTGCCATTCTCTGCAAATACTGTCACAATTCCCTGCATAGTTAACTTCATCATTCATTTTGTACTTGTATATACTCCCTGTTTTTATCTTTATTTATCTTATCTATTCTGTTTAATGTGTATTTTGTATTTTGAGCTTACTTGTCTGTGCTGTTGCAACGCCCGAATTTCCCCTCTGGGGATCAATAAAGTATTATCCTATCCTATCCTATCCTAGAAATAATAACCTGTTCTTTAATTATTGTGACTTATTTGTTCCTGTTGTCAGTTGTTCTGCTCTGTGAGTTTGTAAAAAAGCTAGAATTGGAAATGTAATTATCTTTATAATCAGAGTTAAATCTGTGGTTACCCTTTTCTTCAGAGTTTCTGTAGTTCTTCCTTCAGTCCACAGGGGGGCAGCAGAGTGCTCAAGGGTTAACAGGCAGGTGGTCACGATGAAATGATGAAAACATATTTACATAAAAATAAAAGTTTATTGGTAAAAATAAAATACAAAAACATTTAATGCCATTTTCTATGAATTGCTCTGATTATTTACAGGTGTTTGTTAGCTTCCAGGTTTGATGTATTTACAGGTGTGTCGTGGTTTCAAGGTGCTGTTGTATTTATTTAACAGATGTGTTGTCTTTGTTTTCAGGCGTGTCTTTAAATCCAGGTGTGTGGTCGTTATTTACAGGTGTGCATGTCGTTCATGCTCTCGCAGCGCTTGCAGCGGACGTAGCAGCACCACACAAACTTGCACTCGCAGCGTTGGACGTGCCTCACCACGTGCGTGTTGTATCCGCGGCCGCAGCACAGCAGGTTGCAGCTGTCCGAGCCGGTGGACGTGCGGTTGCAGCGGCGCCCCCTGGTGCCGGCGACGCCGCGACGCCGGTCCTCGAGGCAGTAGTTTGGAGACTTGTTGAAGAAGATGAGCTGCTGTTTGTCCACAGGGGGCGCTGCTGATCTTTCCTTCTCGTCTTCCTCCTGGAGCGGTCCGACACCTGAACACTGTTCTCGTAGCGCTCCTTCAGGTACACGCCGACACGCTCGAACGGCGCCATCGTCTTCCAGCACGTTTTCACAGCGCAGGAGCCTGAGACGCCGTGACAGCGACAGTCTGTGGACATCGTTTGCTCGATTGCCTGGAGGAGGAGGAGGAGACGATGAAGACTTTATTTTTTATTTTATTAAAGTTTTATTGTGAGCTGTTGACCACGAGGAGCCTCAGCTGATGTGAAGGTTCCACATGTTCTGCTGAGAACATAAAACAAAACATGGCCGACTCACCTGGTAGAGACTGAACACACACAGCGTCAGAGAACATGTTTAAAAACACACTCAGATTGAACGCTGTTTGGTTTCAGGAAGTCGCAGCAGTGACAATGTACACACACACAAATGCAGGATTAATGACACTGTGAGGACACTGAACGTGGTCTGCAGATGGAGCGGGGACCTCATGCTGTGTGTGTGTGTGTGTGTGTGTGTGTGTGTGTGTGTTTAATTTAATATAATGTATCACTGTGTTAATCAGTCAATTGTCTCTCTCTTCTGCTGCTGAACTGTTACTGCCCCCTACTGTCCATCGGTGGAACAGCATGAAGCTAACTGTCATGACGGCCTTCAAATTCAATTTATACAAAGAGAGAGTTACATTTTATTGTGTTTCTAGCTAAACTTTATGATGACAGCAGAGTTTAACTTCCTCGAATACAGCATGCAAACTACTCAAGGATCCACATCACTCCACAGCGTCACCATGGAGACTTTAATGCTCTTTTGATCACGACTGTATGTCTGCAGGATGCTGGATTGCCTGAAGCCGAGCCCCCTGAGCTTCTAATTTTCAACATAAAGCTCCGGAAATAAAAATATCTGTAGTGTACATGTGATATATTACAGACATACTCAGTGCTTATACATACAAGACTAAATAAAAAATAAGCAATTCCGCCATTATATATGTATATGTGCTTTTTCAGTTATATATAAATACACAGCTCAATCAGCAGCGTCAGTTCAGCTGTTGAAAAAAACCGGCGCTCTAACTCTCCCCTCTGCGTGACTCATTTGAACGTCTTTTCATTCATACATTCATTTGGGCTTCTTGTAAACCTTGGGCGTGTGACTCCATCTTCTTTACCGTCTTCTACACTCTTGTCTTCTTTTGGCGCGGTGGTAATGTTTGAATTAATCATAGACTGTAAATATTAATCAGTGCGTGAGTTCGTAAACTTCTTCTTGACCTGAGCACATGAGGCGAGAGAGCGCCAGGATGCAGCCATACCTGACTCCTTTTGATTCCATTTGATTGATGAATCAGATTTAATCATCATCTTTTACTTTATTTAAGTTCTGTTTTGTTTTCACTCTTCTTTTGTTTTTAAGTTTTGAATTTGATCTTACTTTTGCAAATCTTGGTTTTGAAGGCTTCGCTTTTAAAGCTCTATGTTAATTTTATTTTGAAACGTTCTCCTCAGATTTCACTTCACAGCTCTTTAAACTGACAAGAAGTTTGATCTGGTTATATGTAAGAACATTAATGCAGGACATAAATAACCTTGTGTCTCAGTGTTGTCCTCACCTGTCGGCCCACCTCACTGTTGTGTTGGTTCATCATGCTCGGCGTGTACCCTCCTCGAGTCATCGACGTGTTTTTCGCGGCGTTGTCGATGAACCTGCGGCTGAACCAGGTCCCGTACTGGATGTGGTCCGAACAGCCGCCCCAGTGCCAGCCGTCTGTTGACAAGCCGCTGTCTTGAAGCTGAGCATCGCAGCCGCACTCCGTCATGTTCCCCTGACTGCAGGAACGCGTGACAGCGTGGACCAGCCCCGCTGCCATCACCCCGTAGATAAACGCCGTCTCTTTGGTCCCTGCGGGGAGAGAGGGATGGGGTCAGTGTAATGTTATTCTAGCAGACGCTTTTATCCAAAGCGACGTACATCAGAGAGTAAGAACAACACAAGCAAGGATCTAGAAAAAAGGGAACAATGTGAGTAAGAGCAAACGATCAGCTTTGAGTCTGATTGGACACACAGGTGCTGACAGGAAGTGACCAGAGGCAAAGCACAACATTGAGGGCAGTTCTTGAGAGCTCTAATCAGTATAGAAACCGTCTTATAAGTCGTCGTTATCAAACAAAAACCATCATCATTACCATCATCATCATCAATAATATGGAGACCATCATCATTAAGTTAGTAGGTATTCATGAAAGAGCTGGGTCTTTAGCTTTTTCTTAAAGGTGCAGAGGGACTCTGCAGATCACATGGAGTTTGGAAGTTCATTCCACCACCGGGTGGTATGACATGTATCACATTTAGGGTCTTTGTGGGCGTGTTTAGCTTGATCAGTCGTCATGGAGATGGCTCTTTTGTAAACCATGAAAGGTGATTAAAGCCACAGAAACAATCAGGAGAGGCATTTTCAGCCTCACAGGTAGCTGCAGCTGGACAGGCATTCTCCTTTACTCACTTTTCCAAATGTTGCCAACATATTTGTGCAATTTAAAAAGTGTTGACCCTGACCCTGGTTGAAAATATGATATTGTATCATTCAAAGTGTGTGGTAACATAAAACTATCATTGGAGTAAAATGCAGCCGACCTTAAAGAGCCCATATTCTGCCCTTTTTGGGGTTCGTATATTTAATCTATGTTCCTACTTTTACACGTTCACAATAGATAAAGTCCGAAAAAAGTGTCTGTTTTCATGTCCTGCTCCTCCTTGCTCCCTCTACGCTCTGAGTCCGTCAGCTGCACTCTGTTGAGCCCACACTGTTAGACCCCACGTGGGCCAAGTCTGCTCTGATTGGTCTGCCGATCCGCTCTGTCGTTATTGGTCAGTTGCTCAGCACGTTTCTCGGAAATGTCCCGCCTCTTTTACCATATTGGGAATGCAGCCACTGGCTCCGTCCGAGGGGAGCATAAACATTAGCATCTTAGCACTACTGTGCTACCGCAGGCTACGGCATATCGTGGGCGTGCTACAGAAGTTAATGGGCGTGCAACATGAGCTGCAGGACTTGCCACAACGAGCCAATGGGCTTAGATCAGTGATCTCACACTGACAATGACGTCGGACTGACACATTTTTTTATCGAGGGGGGCTAGAACTGAGTGTTACATGCGGCTAATGCTACAGCTAACAGGAGGACGTAGGAGAAGCCGCGTTTCCGCAGACTTTGAATTTTTGCACATAGATGAGCCTAAACATGCACAGGACACTTGGAAAACACACTAAAGAGCATAAAACCAGAAAAAGTATAATATGGGACCTTTAATAAAAATCTTTTAATGGTCTCAGGTAAGCTTTGAGTATGAATCATATGAAACAGGGTCCGAGTCCTCACCGCTGGTCAGCTCGTGTCCAAACACGGGCGGCCGCTCGCTGGTGGAGCAGTTCCACCTCTCGTGTCTGAACTGACTCTGGCACTCGGACACGGCGAGTCGGGCTCCGTCCTGGATGCTGGGCAGCAGGAACGGTTTCTTCCGGCACAGCTCTCTCTGTTTGTGGCTCAGAGGGAGGTTAGCACAGCCCTGCTTCTCCGGGACCCCGTCGAGGTCACACCCAGCCACCTGAGAGAGACACCGGTTAGAAATCACCAAACCTCATTCAAAAAAATATTCAGGATTGAAAGACATTTTTCCTCTCAGAGTCTAAAATAATAACTCAAACTATAAGGAGAAGGCTGAGTTCCTACTATGATAATCACACAATTAAAATGTTATCTTAAATCTTCAGCCAGAGAGGGAGAGATTGTAAAAGTGAATAATTCATTTTTAAAGAGTCACTTTGTTGGAAACAGACAAATCAAAAGACAAAGGATTTTAAAGCTGCAGAGGATATATTATATTTAAGACATGGAAGCAGATTCTACAGATGTCGATGTTTTAGCTCGGCTGTTGAACAACTGATTCCAGATATGATCATAGATTGTTCTATTTTAATCAAAATTGTGCTTTGTAAATTGTACTTTGTCTCTCTTTGTGTTTCCGTCTGTAACTTTATGTTTTTGCTGCTGCCTTGTCTCGGCCAATCTCCCTTGAAAAAGAGGTTTTTAATCTCAATGGGACCACCAAGGTTTAAATAAAATAAAATACATTTTACATGATATATCAGGTCCTTTAACCATAATTAATAATCGATTTATCTACCATTGTATCTCCCTCAGAAAAGGACTTTTTATGTTATAAAATCATGAATTTTAGACTGTTTTTTGATAGACTTTTGGACTTTTAATACAAACCGTAATAAAAAACGAGGCCCAACATGTGCAACGAATTATTCACAGGGCTTCACAATTTAGGATGATAAACTGACCTAAAGCAGGAGTTGCAGAGGAGTCAAATTCAGTTAAAAAAAAAAAAAAGATTTTAAAAGGAATCAGCGCACAGAAATATCACTGAACCAAGACCAACACAATAAATCATTTAAAAATAAAGCCTATACTTCATCTCAATGTTATTTCGTTATAAACGCTGGTTATATTTTCTATTTTGGTTGATTGTTTGTTGGATGAAGAACAAATAACTCGGTTCAACTTTCACTGATGAACAGAAACCTATTTTTTAATCGCACATTTTCTATTTTAAAAACCATATTTACTGGATTTAAAGTGGATCATATCGATGGAAAACAATGATAATTAATATTTAAAACAGGTTGTTGCTGAGGAAAAACACGGGGACTTTTTATATTCACAGTTTTTTTAATTAAATTTGGCTTTTTGGATCTCGGGAGGTTGTTGCGTAAAAGACTCGTTTCAGCTCAGGTAAAACAAAACGCATCAGCAACTAAACTGCGCAGTGAATCTTGATTTGATGGTTTATTAAAAGGAGTTTGGTGGAGTTGGAGCCTGAAGCAACAGACTGTTAGGTACTCACATCCAGCTCGACCTGCAGCACAGCGGACACACGGACACCAGCAGCAGGCTCAGGGTGCACATGCGTCGGACTCCACAGCTCCGAGTCTCCATGTCCTCTTCATGTGTCTCCGGGCTGCGCTCCGAGTCTGTCCATCAGCAGCCTCTGTCTCATACTCACCCGGGCCAGGAGCGGGTTACTGACCCGGGTCTGGATGATCCGAGCCGCTCTGACTGATGAAAATGACGATAAGGAAGAAGATGAAGATCCTCTATAATGTGATCTCCCTCCTCTTCTGACTCGGGGCTGCAGGATCACAAGCTGGACTCACTGGACCCGGAGGAGCCTCATTTGATGATCAGCATATTGAGCTGACGACGTCACAGCTGAACGGTGATTGGGCGGCCTGAAGCAGCAGATGGTTTTACATGTTCATGAGCCGATGTTTTACTCGTCATGAGAAACTGTTTTTTTTTTTTATGGAGTTCGGTGTAAAGTAAGGTTGTCAACATTTTCTATACTTGGATATTTTTTCCGAAACAATACAAGCTGACATCAAAATGTGAAGCTTAAAAAACAACACATCATAGGACAGGTGTGTAGGAGAGGAATTAATCCATCAAAAATTGCAGACAAACTTCTGCACATTATCGAAATTGCACAAAAAACTGTTAACAATCCCCTACTAGGTTTACAAAACTTTTTTACAAACACTGTAAAGACTTGAAGATAAAAACAAGAGGCAGTGCTGGTGATAACGTTTTATAAAATACTTTGTATGGTGGAGATTTATAAAATGCAGAAAGGCACAGTTATTGTAATAAATGCTGAAATTGTGAATGTTTAAAGTAAAAACAGATTTTAAAGTGAGATGATGCAGACTAACAAACATTCATGTCATAACCAAAAAGACAAAGTGAAACAAAAATCTGATTTTATGTCTTCAAAGTTGGATAATTAATTAATCACGTGGAGGAAAAAAAACATAACATTCATATAAATATTCATAAATTCTATTTTCCAGCATGTAAACATGTTCAGAGATAAGGCACATCTGTAGAAAAATATAGAAAATACAAGCAGAGGAACAAATAAGACGTTTCTTCCTCATGATAATCAGTTATCATGGAGTCTTTGGTTTACATCATCTGATATACACAATAGTACGACTGAGGTATATAAATATACATATATCTGTATTATATATGCAAAGAGACATACAGGTTGAGAGAGAGAGAGAGAACAGCTTCAGTCCGACATTAAAGTTCAAATATGAGATATAAACATCTGATGTGACGGAGCACTGATACAGAAAACTAAAACTATACGGTGAATATCTCTGGTGAGCTCAAAATAAATAGTTTGTTCACACCAGAAAAGTTTATCACGGCTAATAAATGTGCTCTGAAACTACTCACTGCACCTTAGAAACTGGTGGAGCCATTAAAGCTACTTATTACTACTTTAATACTTATTAGCATGGCAGGCTAAACTAGCCAGCTAGCAAACTAGCTCATTAATGCCCAAACATTTGATGTACGATAAAAAACATCAGCTGCACAAAACACTGAAGCTCAGTCACTCATTAAACTGTGTGCATAATTAATTATCTTATAGCAAGGTAACAGCTATGTACAAATAAACTAGCTTGTGCGCTAATTAGTACACATTACAGATAAATACCGTGTATGCAAAAGAAGCTAGTTAGTAGCCTACAAAATGCCCATTACACACTGATTTGCACGTAATATAGTATAAGTTAAATAAGTTCACATTATAAACTAATTTAGTATAGAGTAGTTAACGCTAACGATAAAATAATACACATAAACAAGTTAGCTTATATTTAACCTGGCTAATACATACAATTAACTAGTTATTCACAAAATAAACTACTTAGTACACAGAATTATGGCATGCATTATAAAATAATACACATTATAAACTGGTTAGTTCACATTATAACCTAGCTAGTACATATTATAGACGAGCTGATGAAGAGTAGAAAGCAGCTGGGTTTCCTTTGAAGCTAACTTTAATAACTAGCTTCACTTGCAGCTAACAGGCAGGTTATAAGTAGCTGAAGGGCAGTAAAGTCAGTGGGTTCAGATCCTATTAGTGAGCAGTGAGCAGCTGATGGTTCATTGATAAAAACAGGGAAGAGTTTCTGTTGAGATTATGAAACAAGTTTGAGTTCATTTAAAATCTGCACATAAGAAGATGTAGCTGAAGCTCGTGCATGACGTTGTTTCTCTCTCTTAGTGATTAGAACAGTGAATGTTTCAGCTTGGGCCTTAAAAATACAAAAATAATCATTTTAATAAGTCACACCTCTGTGATCTCTTGGACAGTCTTTTTCTATTCTCCTTCATGTTTTCACTCTGCTGCAGAGGAGACAGTCCACACACACACACACACACACACACACACACACACACACACAGACGTTCAGTTTCTGGTTTTGGGACACAGGCGGCTCAGCAGGATCTCAGAGTAAACTGGTTCACTGGTCCTCTCACGTGATAGGATGAGGCCTTAGGCCACGCCTCCTGGAGCGTGTCCAGCTCTGCTGAATGGCTGCTGAGTGCAGTCCCTGTGGATCTGCTTCTGTTTGTTGAGCTTGTTGTGTTTTCTGAGAAGCCGGAGGACTCGACCTTCTCCACCTGTGAGAGCAGAAGAAGACACAAACCTGGTTCAATATTTGTTGACAATGATCAGAAGTTTAAAAATTAAAGGTTGACAAAATATAAAAGAAGTTCTCTAGTTTGTTCACATGCCTGAATCGTGAAGAAAACTTTTCTTTTCTGTTGTTGAAAGCTTTGATGAACATTTGTGTATCATCTGCGTAAAGCATTTATAAACAAACAACAAGAGGACCAGAATGATTCTTTGAGGAACACATGATCATAAATAAATAACACAACTTAAATCACAAATTGTTCATCTGTAAATCAGGATAAAGAGTTTTTACATCCTGAAGAAATCATCGTCAGATCATAAATTCTCTATTATTAATCCATTTGGTCATTTTTATGTCACAGAAAACTCTGAGGTTTAATTATCTTTTTATTTACTATACAAATATAAAGCTGTGTTACCTCATGAAAGTGGCAGGCACACGTCCCTGCAGGAACTCTTTGTACCGACCCATCGTGATGCTGAATGTGTCGATCACCTCGTACCATGATGCTTTGCTGTGGTGATGATGTCACTGTTCTCTGTAGCGCTGCTGAATTTCTTTCTGAAGGATCAGACACCAAAAGTAGAAACAATAACAAACAAACAAAGCATCCAGGTGAAAGGATCATGTGATGCAAAGAGCAGACAGTAAAGAGGAATAAAACTTATCTGTCCTCATAAAAAAACAGAAACATACCAGACTGAGAGAGCGGATCCCGTCAACGGGAAGATGGAAACCCATCCAAAGATTTCACACAACCAGGATATCACTCAGAGACTCTCTGTGGAGAATAAACACTATTACCGTGTTGTCAGGGTTACTACAACACTGACTTTGACAATGGTAGGTTGAGGCAATAAAAAAAGTCAAATTGAAAATGAAGATCAGAACAGGTATACCACAGGGCTCCATGTTGGGTCCTCTTGTTATTGGGCTTCAGGTGGATGTAAACCTGCATGCTGATGATACAGTTTGGCTGTCTTTATTGTTATTTATTACATGTTACTGCTTACCTGTTCAGCACTTCCTTGACCGTCCTCAGGTGATCCGTGTTAGCCACTGGACTCGCCCACACAGGACGGTCATGTTGGAGTTCACCAGAGGTCGTGACCTTCAGAGAAGAGAGCCATCAGCACATAAACATCCTATTACCTTTGGTTAATCACACCTGTGTGCTCACCTGTGGATGACCTGCAGCAGAGCCTGTCTGAAGGTGGGCTGTGGCTCTTCTCCAACCAGAACTGAGGATAGTACGAATAGCTCACTTGGCTCGCCCACCGTTCAGTTCCTGTACAGCAGCAGGTCGTGAGCCTTCCCCCAGTCTCCAGACTCGAGTTCACCCGCTCCAGCAGGTAGTACATCATCCCCGATTGGTTGAGTCACCAATAAACATCAC